TACAACATTTATCTGCCCTCTAAACACAAATTTTGTACAAAAAAAAAATGTGATTGAAGGGCAAATAAATTTTGAAAGCTATATGAGAAAACGGCACTTAGAAAAATTCAGACATTTTGTAAAAATTTCAAACTTTTTAATCTGAATTTTTAGAACAATTTTGGGTATGCAGTTTTTTATTTAAAATATTTAGCCCAGTGGTCGGCTGGCCATAGCTCACTGAGCGCTCTCTGAGCAAATGTGTTTCATTCTCACTCATTGAATCGTTTGAATGAATGTGTAAGTACGCAGACCACTGATTTAGGCAACCAAAAGCTTCTCAGGATTTCAGTAAAATGAGTATGTATGTATGTATCTATATAAAAAATGTGCATTAAAGCGTTCGGAAATTAATGCAATAAAGTAGACTCAGCTTTTGGAAATAAATTTATAATATAAAGATAACTAATAATAATAAAGCAGGAAGTAAAATTTTATTTTTTTTTTTTCAAACAAAATTCTTTAACAAAAATCTATCAAAATGAGGAAAAATTTACCTTTTTACCAACCCAATTTTTTTCTACCAATTTTGGTTGTAATTACCAAAGTGGTAACACTCTTTGTGAGCTAGTTTTATTTTATTTTATTTTTATTTTATTTATTTCTTAAAATATACTCGTTATAGCCTAACCTAAAATATACAGTATAAGCTACTAATATGAGCAACCAATTTTAGTGATGAAAAATGTGGCCAAATTCCGAATCGTGTCAATGCATGCTATGGTATAAAGGCCGTTTATGCATATGAAGTGCGAAGCAAGCATCCAAACGGCGATGCACTGAATTTGATCTAGTGATGCGTTTCGGGATGAGCTTCGGCTACTTTACGGATACGTTTGGGAACGGTATAACTATGTTGGCATGGGGAAACAGTATACTTTGTACGTATGTGCATTGCGATTGGTAGACCGGAAGATTGCCCATGTATCACTAAATTGGAAGGCTCCTGCAATAATTAAAATTTTTTTTAATTCATTCATATTGCTGGATTTAACCTCAGTTGGCAATTCATTATAACATTTTAATCCTTTGTAATACAAGTTACATTTATCTGCTTCGGTTTTGTAAGCAGGTAGATTAAAGTAATTTCTATTACGAGTATTTATGGAATGTACATTATTGACATACTTAATGTTGCTTTTCAAGTAATCGGGTAAGTTCACATCTATAATATTCTTGATAAATTTCATTGTATAGTAAAACAGCTGTTGTTTAATGCTCAGCCAGTTTAGAGTAGATAGCATATCTCTGATAGGGGTGTCTTAGCGTTTAGTAAGAATGAATCTCATAGATCGGTTTTGTTGTTTCTGCAATTTATAAATCTGACTATCTCTCATTATGAAAAATATGGTGGGACTGTAAATGAAATGAGGTTCAATTATGGATCTATATACCATGGCCTTGTACCTTTTACTTAAGTATTTGCACGTTCGTTGCGTAAAGTATAATTTTTTGGCTATCATTCCCACCGTGTAATCAATGTGTTCATTAAAGTTCAATTTGTCGTCGATTTTTATTCCTAGGTATTTGAATGTATTAACTCTTTCAATTGGATCATTGTTTATATTTAGGTTCTGTAACTTGGTGCTCTCAAAATTACGTCTTGATATAACCGTAAATTTAGTTTTATCGACGTTATATATCTCGTTTAAATCATCTTGCAACTTAGTGGATATTTCAGTGATATTATCTCCACTAAGCATAAGCAGCGTATCATCGGCAAATAATTTTATATCACAATCGCAATCAGTAATATCATTAACATAAATATTGAACAAAATAGGAGTTAACACAGATCCTTGTGGCAGCCCGATTGATACTATTTTTCTATCAGACAGTGATGATCCGATTACTGTTCTTTGATTCCGATTCTTAATAAAGTTTTCAAACCATTTAGTTCAATACCGGTACCGTCTCAAAAGCACGTTTCAAATCTAAGAAGACAGCTTTATATGTTTATTCCTGCTCAAGTCTTCTTTCCAGTTAGCAATAACCAAGTTCAGAGCACTTTCGCAGGAATGCCTTTTACAAAAATCAGATTGCTGTGGAATAATAATTTTATTGTCTTGTAAGAACTGTACAAGTTGGTTTTTCACCACTGTTTCTAGTATTTTTTCTACACACGGTAATGTGTTTATGGGTCTAATCTCATCAGCTCTGATAGTATTTTTTATTTTCGCTATTGGTACAACAATCGACATTTTCCAGAAGTTTGGAAAATCACCTTTCTCTAAGCTTTCATTCACAATTTGAGCATAAAAGTATCCAGTATCAGTTATTGAGTCTTTAATGATTCCTTCAGATATGAGCTTTTTTCCACCAAATTTGGTTTTGAATTTGCTTACTATATTCAGAATGTCGATTGTAGATATTTTTTGGAATTTAAATGTAGAGGCGATAATTCCCGTGATTACGAAGTCTCCAATTCCAGCACTAATATTTCTGCTGATTTCCATGACACTATCTATAAAATAGTTGTTTAGTGAGTACGCTATTTCACCCTCATGTGTGAGAAGTTGATCGTTTATTAATATTCTTTTAAAGGCATTGGTTTCCTTAGACATAGATATGCAATTTTTTAGGTGTTTCCACATAGCTTCGCTGTCCCCGATATTGCAGGTAATTTTGTGTTCCATGTATTTGGTCTTTTTAACCTTTATTAACCTTTTGTATCTACGCCGGGTAATATTGTATTCATTCCAGTCGCCTATTTGTAAAGCAATGTTGTAAATATTCAGTTTATGTTTGTTGAGGTTTGCTAATTCAGAATCGTACCACTTATTCATCAATTTAACGCTGATTTCTTTAAAGTATATCATAGAACTCATTACACTTGATAATTATTATATAGAAAATTTACCTTATTTTCGATACTCATACTCTTGAAATCACAATAGTTGAATTGTCGTAATTGGTTAAGAAGACTATTGCTTGAGTAATATTCCCAAGAAGTTAAAGGTTTTCTAACTCTCATTTTAAATATTTTTTCCAATTTTATTTTAAAATTAATGGTTTCGTGATCCGTAATCCTATCTTTTGCCAATCTTTTACAGGAAATAAATTCACTATTCGTAAATAACAAATCAACCAATCAGTGTTATCTCCTTTTCGAGTATAAAAATCTATTTTTTGATTCATAGCAAAAGACCGAAATAGGTCAACTAGCTGTTTGCTATAAGTGGTGCTATTGTACAAGTTTATATTGAAATCCCCGATGAAGACTATATTATCATGAGTTAAACAGCTATTATTAAAGTCTGCATCGCTCGAACTAGGCGAATGGTATATAGCATTGTGTACAAATACAAGTGAGATATCTTAGCAATAGACGTCATCCTGGGCCACAGCTGCGATCATCTGTTTTTAAGAGTTGCTTATTTTGCTCTAAACTGCTCTTTTTTGACCTGAGTTGCATTAAATAGTCTCTTAAAACTTGGTAGTATTTGTTGTTGAAATGGTAACATATATGCCCAAAAACTTGAAAAATATTAATGATTGCTTTTTAAAAATGCTATTTACAAAATTTCGTTTTGATTGCGACATTAGAAATATTCAGATTATCAAAGTTTTTCACATATGTTTAAGATTTTAAAACTTTTTAAAAGTACTAGAAAAATGGCGAACAGCCATCAAAATACTGATTCAAAATACACATCTTTCACTGGACACACAAATGGGTGCGCGCAGCAAAATGCAGCCCTAATGGTAAGTTAATTTCATCGTGCGGCGATGACAAGTTAAGAATTTGCGATACATATTCAGGCGAATGTGTGCGAACGTTCACCGAGGGAAGAGGTATGGGACGACAGCTGGCATGGCATCCAGACGGTAATCTGGTGGCTTTAGCATTAAGTTGTAACCGCTTTAAGATATTTGACATAGCTGAAGGCGAACTAATACAGTGCATTCGTCGCCGGAGAATGATGTTGCATTTCACCCAAGTGGAAATTTCTTGGTGACTGGCGGCGATGACGATACAATAAGATTGCTTGATTTATTAGAAGGTCGACCAATTTATACACGGTAGTAGTGCACTTTAGCGGAACCATATAATATAAATTTTTTCCTGTATTCAACAGTTGCTCGTTTGGAAATCTAATTTGCATACATTTGATGCCAATAGCTCCCGCAACAAACAAGCCAGTTCTCAAAGAGTCCAAATTGATTTTAGTCATGCAACCGCTCCACATAACTCCGCCATAGACACACCAGTTGCTGCAGTACCAAAAAGCTGTGATGACAGTATTTTAATTGATCCACGACAATCGGTGGCATAAGGAATGCGTGATGGAAATTTTCTGGTGCTTGATAGCCAATATACTACAAGAGTGAAACACTACAAGTGAAACGCTGTGATAGTAACTTTTCTTAAATTTCCCTCTTTTATTTGCATTTGCATTAAGAAGCTCATAGAGGACAGAGCTGTTGGTGAGGAAGGTGTCGAGTTACTGCAGTACTGCAACTGGGAAAATCTGCATTTCGCACGTGCCCCACTCGTATGGAATAGTAGCTTATGTCAAAAGGCTGGTTTTAGTATAATGCGGCATTCACAGCATACCCTCACTGGCGCCGAGCCGTTGAAGAAATTTTGGCAAATAAACGTGCAAGAAATAATTCCGATACTAGCACGTCCATATTCTTGTTAAGGGTCATCAAAAAAATTCCTTGTGTTGTAAATAATAAAGTGAATGCCGGATTATACTAAAGCCAGCTTCCCGACATAAACTACTATTCCATACGAACACAGAAATATAAATGTCTCTAAAACTGAATAACTCAAATCAAATTTGATTGCATTTCCATAATATACCTAATATTGGAATCTGTTTTGATCATAAAAAATACAACTTGCAATCATTTAGATTATGGTTTTGAAAGAAATTGATTGCAATCGTAAATTGTGTAAAAATTGTTAATAGCAATCTGCCTTAAATTTATGTTCCCCATGTAACGGGTATAAAATACGTTAATTCCCCACTATCTGCATTAACAAAAAATATACATTGGAATATTTAAAATAAAACGATTCATATTTTCTAATAAGAATTGTTTCTTAAGTGAAAGTATTTAATACTAACATAATGTAGTGGTTAATGTTTAAAAATGAATTCGCAATATGTCCGCAGCTCAGGTTGATTTGAAGAAATCAGTTTAAATTTTTCGAATTACATCTACTTGAATATAGGATAGGCAGGGTTGCATACAAATGGTAGTTCCGTAAATATTTAAAATATGTTAGTTCATTCAATATTTACATCTGGGCCAATAAATAATAACAAATATAGCCGAAAAAACAAAGTTTCGACCAAAACGAGTTTTCATAACCCCCCATAAAATTTCGATAAATTTTAAATACGAAAATAACGATATTTTTTCATGGAGAGGTATTTTTCTTAATATACCTTGTTTATACCTACACAAGAACCGTATTAGCAAAAAACCGATTGGACTCAACATATATTTCTTTACAGCATTTATACCCCTGTCTTTATAGCCCACTCGATAGTCTTATTCAAAAGTAAACAAAATCTGCTATTTTTAAACATTTTTTTAATAAATAATTTGCGCGGTTGACCGAAATGGAAACAAACAATAATTGTAATTTATTATAATAATAATTCGAATTTAAAACGGGCTGTATAAAGAAAACCAGCCTATTGTCACTTCACTTTCCAATGGTGCTGATTGCTGCAAGAATTATTTAGCGATTTAGAGCATAATTAACACAATATATGCACATAAATATGTATTATTTCACAGATCTCACGGTCAGCTTAGAAATACGTCACCAAAATTATATAAAATTTAGGTAGGAATTATTTTTATTTATAACGTAAAAGCGCTATCTGACCCAATCTGATAAGTATATTTCCCCTAAAGTTAACCCATTTTATTTAATTTGTCCCTCGTGAAAATATATATTTTATTTAAAATTTTCAGATATGTACATATATTTTAAATTTTAGCTTTAACAGCACAGCAACCCTTTTCTGTTCATCTTGAGAACACAAAACCCTCTTTTGTTAAAATTCGGCGCTGCACAAAATCCTGGCTTTTATATTTTTCAACAAAATACCCCTTCGCAACCCTGGATTTTCACGAAGCGTTTCATTCGGGTCGTAGTTTTGCAACTTCGGGCCATTCGGTGTTGTATGCCATATTGGCTGCCATATTGTTCACACTGTCATCGCCATATTGAACACCCTGTCAACTATCTGTCAACCCTAAGATATCTCACTTGTATTCTTCCACAATTGTATATAGGACCTATTTGATATTTAGGAAATATATTTTTAATTTTTAATATTATACACCACAGATTTTTATTAAACGAATGGCTATTACTTGTTGCATATTCAATTGAATCCTGTACATATACTAAAATACCACCCGTGTGCCTGTTGTGTGAATTACACCGCCCTAATTTGTAGGATTCAATCTGTAATTCTTAATTTGTTATGTCTTCTGTCGAACAACTTCTGAGCAAAGAACCAAATGGGGTTTCTGTATTTCTATTAGACGCTCTAGTTCATATTTGTTGGCAACGATACTGCTGATATTTAAATAAATGCAATTTAATTCATTTAGTATTCATTGCTAGATTCGCGATTTGTTTTTTGGTTGAGTATGTTTTTTATATGCCGGACAACCTATACGGAAAGCGTAATGGTTTACACCAACATTCATAACTTTTTTCTTAACCAACTCGCTACAGTTTACACATTTAACTATACTTGAGGTACCTTCTTTACTGTCATGATTTTCAGCACATTTGCTACATGCTATCTTATTAGTGCTTTCGCTAGCTTTGTGTTTATACCCCAAGCACTTGAAGCAACGCAAAACATTTAAATACTCATAAACGACACAAGTGTCCCATTCAACAAATACCTTCTTTTGTTGTAACACATTTTCAAAAGTAACAGCATCAGTTTCTACTAATGCAATATAGCTTTCCTCTCTACTATTAGCATTATCATAAACTTTTAGTACTTTTAAATCTTTTCCGGTCGTTTTGCTTTGTTAAGCATTCCACTAGGCGATCATTATTTATTTTCTTAGTTATGCCTACAATCTTAAATATCCTCTTTATTTCACTTTTATCTTTAGTTTTATTTGCTTCAAATTCGTTTCCAATAGCCTCTCTTACATTCTGTTGCACCTTTTCACAGGCGTCTTTATTTCTGCATTCTACAATTATTACCCCGCTATTCATTTCTTTCACGTCTTAACAAGACCTTCCGTAGGCTCATGAACCAAAAATACAAGATCACGCCTTCTTCTTAGTAGCCCGTTATAATCGCATTTAGGAAAAAAGTTGGGCGACTTTGACATTGCTGTTTATTTAAATTTGTTCGTTGTTTACAATTTGGTGGTGGCTTTTTACTGGAATTTTCTTAATTTTCGCTTATGACAACGTGTGCATACACAAGGTAAAGAATTATTTAACACAACGACATGATTTATAGAAGAATTTGCATAATAATAAAATAATGTAAAAAAAAATATTTTTTAAAAACAAGCTTTTATT